GTGAATATAAAACGGTACAATGCATGCAAAATATATCAGGTTGAGTGAATATTAAATGGTAAATGGAAAATATATCAGGTTGCATGAATATTAATCGGTACATGGGAAATATATCAGGTTGCGAAAATATTAAACAGTATATGGGAAATATAACAGATTGAGTAAATATTAAATGGTACATGGCTTGAATATTAAACAATACAATGCATGGTAAATATATCAGGTTGAGTGAATATTAAACGGTACATGGGAAATATATCAGGTTGCGTGAATATTAAAGGATACATGAAAAATATATCAGGTTGCATGAATATTAAACGGTACATGAAAATGCATGCAAAATATATCAGGTTGAGTGAATATTAAATGGTAAATGGAAAATATATCAGGTTGCATGAATATTAATCGGTACATGGGAAATATATCAGGTTGCGAAAATATTAAACAGTATATGGGAAATATAACAGATTGAGTAAATATTAAATGGTACATGGCTTGAATATTAAACAATACAATGCATGGTAAATATATCAGGTTGAGTGAATATTAAACGGTACATGGGAAATATATCAGGTTGCGTGAATATTAAAGGATACATGAAAAATATATCAGGTTGCATGAATATTAAACGGTACATGAAAATTATATCAGGTTGCATGAATATTAAACGGTACATGAAAAATATATCAGGTTGAGTGAATATTAAACGGTACTTGGGAAATATATCAGGTTGCGTGAATATTAAATGATACATGGGGAATATATCAGGTTGCGTGAATATTAAATGATACATGGGAAATATATCAGGTTGAGTGAATATTAAACGGTACTTGGGAAATATATCAGGTTGCGTGAATATTAAATGATACATGGGAAATATAACAGGTTGCGTGAATATTAAACGGTACATAGCGAATATAAGAGGTTGCGAGATATGGATTTAAACATGATTTATTTTTTAGATTTAACATTTTTGTGTCTTAAAAGGAACTGTAAGCATTATGTCATTGTCCGGACAAAAGTTTAAAGGTTACCATTGTGAATCGGACATGCCTCTCTAAAAATGAAAGGTCTTTTGAAATTACGCTTTAAATCACACACAGATTACCACTATGTCTTTGCAATTGATTAACACTAAACAGAGAAAGAAGAAAATATATAGCATATTTTTCCAGTCTAAACAAGATACCAATTTCTTGGAGTTGTAGAAACACAGGTCGTAATTTGTTACAAATCATGACGACATATTATACACTATGAGAATCTTTTGAACTATTAAACTAGACATGATTGATCTTTTTCATAGCTCTAGTTCATTTTTGAAGAAGAAGTTACACTGAAGTCTATATTCAGAATTTTTTAAAGAAAAATTATGTAATAAATACAATTTTATTTGATAATGGCTAATCAGTTGTAGAGCTATTAAAGATTTTTAATTTAAAAAGTTCTCAAAATTACAAGGTCAATAAGTTTACATAAACATCATATGTATATCACTCCTGTATGCCGAGTCCATTAGCGCCTGATCCAATCAGGGTTCAGTCATGTGTTTGTTGTCTATTCTGAACCAATATAAATAGTATGGCGGTAACATCTATCTTTCTATCTATCTCATTATCCAATCAGAGTCTAAAACTAAAGAATGCGCGAATTTTAAGTTCGAGGTTAAAAGTTCTGTAAAATAATGAATAGCTACTTAAATATTAAACTTTCTCAATCTTAAATTTGAATTTCCCGGGAAAATCTGAACCAATCAGAGAAAAGGATTTACGGAGAATATTACATAACCATCGCTAATCAGCTGAACACGTAACCGAAAACAAAACATATTTTGAGTTACAACCGTATTTTGGGTTTGCATGCAAAAATTAATTAATCTAATACGTGAAATTTCTTTAACAAGGTTTTCACTTTTAAATATATCGTAAAGTTGAATGCCACTTTCTCAGCTGAATGATGATTGAATAATAGACAAATAGGGAAAATACAGGATTTCAAGATTTTAACCCTGTGTTTAAATTTTAACTCGTCGATTTCGGCGGGTTAAATATTTAATCACAGGGTTAAATATTTAACCTCACGGTAAAAGTTCAAGCTTAAATTAAGTAAGAAGTGGCATTTAACCATGAACTTAAAATTTAAGTCAAAACTTTTCGTTCTTTAGTTTAGACTCAGAGTTATGAATCCTTGAATCGGCGCTATCAGTAAATGGAAATATTTACTTCTTCTGAAACTAAAGTGATATAGGAGACAGTGTTAATAATAATAATATTACAAAAATAAACAATATTTTAAGGGTTAATTTTTCAGATGTGAACATTAGATATATTCAATATATTTTGTCGATCAGTCAGAACTGTTTTTATATTTGGTTCCATTGATCAAACGTTTAAAGTTTTCAAAATATTTAAAATACTAAATTTTTCTTAAATCCCCAGTACATATTTTCCGTTTAAATATTTCCCCCCAGTAAGCCTGAAATTGAAGGGGTTTATTCTGTATAAATTGACAGCAGAATTTCACACGAATTTTTCATATTTTTCGGGAAAAGAAACTGAATAAGGTCATTTATAACAACGACACAATTTAGGAAAACCTTTGGTTGTCACTTCCTTTTCATAACCCCCCCCCCTTCCGTTTTCATAACCCCCCCCCTTCCGTCTTCGTACCTCCCACCTTCCGTCTTCCTACAGGGACAAATGTAACTATATTTTTAATTTGAGCGTCATTTGAAATTATGTTGATAAAGTCCATGTAAAGATGGCAATGCCCGATTCACAATGTTACTCTTGAAACCTTTATTAGATCAATATTGTGGAAGTATTTTCGTTTTTCTGGGTTTAATGTGTTTTATTTTAATAATTCCCTGCAGTAGAAATGCTCAAAAAGTTTATTTTTAGGGTCCCGTTGTGAATCTTACATTGCCATCTTTGCATGGAGGGTCTCCATGAAATTGCGCTTACAGTCCCTTTTAATTGAGGACTCCCCCCCCCCCCCCATCCCCCGACAGCATAGTGCAGAAGATTGCTTTTGTGCTTAATATCATTTATGTAAATGGTCTTTACTGTTATCTCCAATTGTATCTTTAAGTCGCAACATTGTAGAAATGAATGAAAATAATTTGATACTAGGGCACCTGATCTTGTAGAGGAGGGGGGTGGGTGATAGGGCACCTGATGTGACGGGAGAGGGGGACGTCACATGAAGAGGATTAAAGTAAATAATCCTATATTAAGAATGAACACCTTCCCCCCTCCCTTCTCTCTTAATACAAATTATTTAGGTTTACTTTTTTCTGCCTTTTCCTATATGGTCATACATAAAACGGGGGTAACATTTTTATAGAATGAATGCAATTTTTTTTCTTCTTTATTAAACAAAAGTATTCTTCAGAGACAATCAATAGGATTTACAGAATTCGGCACTTTTCTCAATCAGAATAATCTCGATTTCTTCCTCATTTTACCCAGACAGAGGTATATGGGAAGCGTTGTCAACCTTTCATTTTAATGGTTGCTTTGCTTAAAATTACGTTTAAAGAAGTTTAACTGTTTGATGAACTATTCATTATTATTTTTAATTCTTTTTTAAATTCCAGTTGTTCAATGTAAAATATTATTAAATTAAATAATTTCTCCCAAGAAGGGTCAGCTGACCGTAAAATATTTAAGCTGAAAAATGTGTTTAATTAAATGCTCTTATTCCAGAATTAGGATAAGGAATGTTGGAAGAATGTAAAATATTAAAGAATTTTTCACATTTAGTGTATCGTGTCAAGTGGTTTAGTAAGATGAATCGTTACAAAATATCATTAATCTAAAAATTTAAAAAGCTGAAAATGGGTTAACATAAAGTTTTAATCAATCCAAAAAAAATATGCAAATTTATAAAAAATATGCCTTCATCAATAAAAAAAGAAGAAAATTTTTTTCCCCAAAATTTTCCAAGCATGTTTTCTTTTCAGAAAAAAATGGGATTTTTTCTATGTTTTCTTTCTTTTTCTAAATGGGGAGGGGGGGGGATTGACTTTATATTTTGTGTTTAAAGTTCACAACTGACAACTTTTGGAAAGATCCAGTTTTTGATTGTAATATTTCTGACTGAGCAATGCCAAATGTTGGCAAAATATTTAAACATATTTAAAGAAGAAAAACTGGTTTAAATTGTTTTTAGAAAATGAGTTCTATTCATTTACAATCATATTGCTCTTCGACAAAATATTAATGCCGATTTTTTATTATGTTTGAAAAAAGGAAATGAAGGAAAATAATGCAAAAGATACAATTTAGATGAACAAGAATAAAAACAATTAACAAAAATAAAATTCCAATTAAGTCTTTCAAATTAATTAAAAAGGTGTCACATTACATAGAGAAAAAAAAACATCTTTTTGTTAAAACACAAGTTTTATGTCAAATTCTAAAGAAAAGTTCAAATTTTTCATTCTTTTGACGTTTGGTAACTTTAATTATGTATTTTAAATCAAATCGTGAATTGTGTTTTTGTATGCTAATCTTCCATTCTGAACTTTCACATTGCAGAGCTGGTTTAGCCTCCAGCTATGCAAACACATAATATGCCATTTTTCTAAATTTGCAAAAATCTGAGCAAGAATCTGAGCCAATTTTTGCAACTAATTTTTTTTAAATCTCTTTTTCATTGTCTTTTCGTCAAACTAGTTTGTCATGAGCACTTCGGCTTAGGGTTTCTAACCGGAATCCATCGCGTGGAATTGCGCGAAATTAAAGTAAAATCTGCTGCGTTGGATGCAAAAAATTTTCATTTTCTATTTGAAAATTATTCGAAATTACGATTTTCAAATTTATTTTATCATAATTATTTATATTTTCATAAGATAATTTGTTTGTAAAAAAATCCTGCTAAATTTTAAAATAAAAAAATAAAAAATCAGTTGTTAAAATTTTATTGGAAAAATTATCACATTTATAGTTAACACATATAGATTTATAATAACATCCCCCCCCCCTCGACTCCCCCCTTCGATCCTGGACACAGCAAAAAAAGTTTAAACCAGAGTTTATTATTTGAATTCCCCTCAATGCAGTCTCCCGTCAAAGTGTAGACCCCCTTTAGCATACGTGAGGCGCCAACACTGACATTTCTCTATTAATTGATTTCAATATTTATTAAACCTTATATCTTCTCGGTTTAGATTTTAGGGGAATATACGAATTATAAATGGTTAAAGGGAAAACTTGGGAATTCTGGGAAGAAATATGAGAGAAACCATAACTGATCGGTAATCGCTGTGTTTCTTGTATTGCTCATATATTTGAGATCAGAATACACACATTATTCTATTTTTTGAAAATCACAATGCTATTTGCTCGAAAATGTCCAATCAGATTGACGTTGTATAAACCATACAGCCAATTAGAAGCTGGTAAATTTTGCGCGTAATCAATGAGAGAACTTTCAGCTGTAGGATTTCAGCTGGAGGATTTCAGCTGGAGGATCGAAATCAAAAGTGTCCAGAGTGGAAATCAAGATTAAGAATTTCCAACACATAAGTTTCCAATTCAGAATAAATGGATACATCAAAAAAACTTGTTTTTCAGGAAATAATATGCTAGAAAGTCTTGGGTTAATCAAAAAACTAAATCCTGAAAATGAATCCGACTTTTTCAGAATCCAAATGGTGTCCTTTCGATCGTTTTTAGGTTTAGTCGTGGGTGGTTCTATTTCCTCTTAGACTTTTTAAAAAATATACAGCAGTTGATGCCATATTCTCAAATCTTAACCGATCTTCTTTTTTAACATTAAAATTATTAACGGGACAAACAAAATCTTGTTTTTGTAGCAAATTTTATGCACGTTCTGTTTTAAAGAAACACCCTGTATCATCTTAAAATTAGTTACAAGATTTAACAATTTTTTGTGAAAGTTATTTTTTAATCAAACTTCGAAAGTTTTTGAACTTCCAAAGAGAAATCAACTTAATATGATATTTTCTTCAACGTAATTTAACAATATTATTTTTAAGTGAAATATAAATTTAGTAAAGATTAATCTGTTGAGTTTTTTAGTAGGTTCAGAATAGAGTAGGATAATTGTGTACTCTTCTCATTTTCATCTTCCTCATCACAACTGTTGTTGTTGTTGTTGTTGTTGTTGTTGTTGTTGTTGTTGTATTCTCCCAGGATGTTGTTGTTGTTAAGTACTGTTACTCCAAACTTTGGTTTATGCCAACGTCTGTGGGAAGCCAGGTTGGCGGGGCAGTTGAACATCTTTTCGCATTCAGGACATTTGTACTCTACATGTACTATCATTGAACACCTAAACATTGTACTCTACATGTACTATCATTGAACACCTAAATATTGTACTCTACATGTACTATCATGAAACACCTAAACATATACTCTACATGTACTACCATTGAACACCTAAACATTGTACTCTACATGTACTATCATGAAACACCTAAACATATACTCTACATGTACTATCATGAAACACCCAAACATATACCATACATATCACCCTAAACATCTTTGTTACTTGGTTATTTTCTGTAAAAGTATTTTGTGTAAATATGCAACAGAGACAATGAAAGAAATGGTCAAAATATAATATATTTTTTTTGTTCTAAAGAGACAACAGAGCTTCCCTTTTAGTTAGATAAAGTTTCAAATGCACCATTGTGAATAGGAACATATGTCACTCTTGAAATTAAGTAATACAAAAAGTACGTGAAATTAAATAATACAAAAAAGTACGTTTGCAGTAATTTTGAGAAGAATTGCGGATTACAAAGTTGCTTGTTAATTCATGGGAGTAGGACAGAAATTACAGATATTTCTTAGTATCTTTAAATAGATTGAACTATTCGGAGAAATCGTTCTTTTTGGAATTTTCTCTTTAATTAGTACAGCTTTGTTATCTAAAGACTAAGAATTTGTGAAATAAATATTTAGAAAATGTTCCTTTTGGTATTTGATTTATTTAGAAAAATATATTCAATCAAATTTTATTTGCTTCCAAGCTTTAGCTAAGTAATAAAGGATTGAATATTTTTCCCGAGATTTCAAGTAATTGAATTGAATTACCTGTGTTGTGCCAAACCAAATGCGTCAGTGTACACTTCCTTGCAAAGACGACATAAGTATTCTCCAATTTTGTTTTCTATCTTTGCCAGTTCTTCCTTTGCTTCATCGGTGACCTCCACAAGGTTAAGAGTTGGGTCGATATCGCCTAAAAATGTCCTCATTATATTATATTCAATTAAAAACAAATCATGAAGCAGATCTTTTTATCTTGGTCATAATTTTGGAAATAAGTTTATATCAAGCCTGTTAGTTACACTAAGTGATGAACTCTTTTTTTGGGGGGGGGGGGAGATAATAATTATAAAATTAAAAGAATCACTCTATGTTTGAAAATTCATAAATCATTTATCTTAACCTTTCTTTATCTCTACGTCAACGTCAGAAAGGCGCCTGATAAAGGTTCCCGAGACAGGACTTGTCATATCTTCTTCAGTTTCCTTCTTCTTCATCTTCATCTTTCGTTTCTTCCCCTCAACATCCTCCCGAACCCGTCTCTTCCTTGTGTCCTCGCCAAGCCTGGAGAAGTCGGTCTTCTGGATGTTCTGGGACGAACTCATCGGGGAGAGTCTAAAGTCAACTGGGGCATGGGAAAGAGATGGAGAGACAGGTTCTGCTGGAAGCTGCTGAACTGGGTATCTAAAAATTAATTCATTATAAAATACATATAAAAATATCAGATGACATTTTTTCCTCAGAAATCCTTCTAACAACCTAAATTATTAAGGGCTCAGTCCAAAATTAACCCGAAATGTATCTTAATATTGCCAAAAGTTGAGCCCCAGGTTTACCTAAAGTTTATCTAAATAATGAGAAAATTCCAGCCCAAGGTTTACCTGAAGTAATCTGAATATAAAGAAAAGTCCAGCCCAAGGTTTACCTGAAGTAATCTGAATATAAAGAAAAGTCCAGCCCAAGGTTTACCTGAAGTAATCTGAATATAAAGAAAAGCATCCAGCCCAAGGTTTACCTGAAGTAATCTGAATATAAAGAAAAGTCCAGCCCAAGGTTTACCTGAAGTAATCTGAATATAAAGAAAAGCACAGCCCAAGGTTTACCTGAGTTGTATCTGAATATTAAAAAAAGTCCAGCCCAAGATTTACCTGAATGCATTATACTGAGATTGTTGAAGAAGGGCCAGCCTACTGTAGAAGAGTTCAGATTTCTTGGCAAGACAATACTGGAAGAAATCAGCTTGTAAACGTTCTGCAGCTGTTCTAAGAGACAGGGCTATTCCTAAAAGTTAATCTGTTTAAAGGGATATACTGAGAAACTTTTTTACAATTATTTACTAAAAAACGATGAAAGTAGATAAAAAACATGCGCTTTTAAGCCAAGTTAAGATTAAAGGAATTTAGTTCTGCTCAGATATAAGAATTAACTAACACATGCCTTTAATGGGAGTGGACTGTTCCCCTTTTTATAAATGCCCATATAATGAATAATTCTTGTAAAAATCAAAAATGTATGTTTACCTGTTTGAGCTTCTGCTGAACTACTGGTTTGTGCTGGACTAAAGAAATATTATCTTAAAATCATGTTTTATAAATGTAATTATGAATATTTGAAACGTGATGGTTTAAACCTTTGATATTTTACACTTGTTTGACGTAAGAGAATTCATAGTTTGAAATATCTAATGTCTACAATGTACACTCTGATCTTTTCAGGCTAAATTACAGGTTTCAAAAACATGCTGGATCGAATCTCCACTGGGTAGCCTGACTGGACAGTACAACTGAATGCATGCACACTGCGTGTTGAACCCGCACAGATCATGCAACCTTTAGACTGGAATGCACGTTGGGTTGCAAAGGTATAGGATTTATAAAATCAGAATTTTTGGCAAAGACTCAATTTTTGGAATTACATTTTTTGAATTTTAAGCTATTTTCCTTAAATTGGAAGCGTTAAATGCAAGCCCAGGTTTATGGCCCAGATATTCTTCGCCTTGCTCCAGATTCCTGGAGCCAGCGAAGAAGTTGGAGGTAGGGAAGATGTTGGGAGCAAACCCTTGCTCCATGCTTGTCTGGAACCTTTCTTGGAGCTCTCGTCTTCGTTGCTCCATAATCAGATATTCGTGTTTAGCTGGCAAATCTGCTTGTCTCAAAAAACCTAAAAATTTGAAATTTTAATTTTTAAAATCTTTTTATTGGGCCTCTTTTTATAGTTCAAAGGTTAAAAGAAAGCTAAAAAGCCTGAGGCCAGTTATTTGTCCATATCTGCAATCTTTTTGAATAGAAGTAAGTCAAACTTGCTAATTAAATAAGTATTAAAGAAAAACTTTTATGGATTTATTTTTATTCTTCTGTTGGTGTCAGATGCATTTTTAATAATCTTTTCTTACTTGATTTAAATAATATCAAACTGACAACATACACAATTTCATAACAATTAAAAAGGTGAAGCAAATAATATAAAATATGCACTGACCAGTGGCCGGGTATCATTGAATAGGTTGCATAATGCATACCCCTAAGATAACCGTTTCTACCAAGATTATAATGCAAGGAAAGTTAATCGCAGTTGCGTATACTCTGCGTACATCTCTGGGCGGAATTTGTAAACAAGAATAGATGCATAAGTGTTCGTTTAGTATCGGAGAAGGTTAAAAGCATTAAATTTTGATAATTTTGATAATTCACATAATAGTGTCCTATGACCAGAATATGTCATTGATTTTTTTATGTGAAAGATGGATCCTATGTCAGGCTTCGACATCCGTCTTGTGTTTACATTACCGCCCAGAAACAGTACACTGAAGTACAAAAGATGCGTACACCTCTGAAATAACTTTCCTTGCATTATAACCTTGGTTTCGACTAAGGATGTAGTTTTCTGCCCAGGTTTATCAATTTAAGAAGAATATTTAAATAAAAATAAAAATAAAAAATAACTAAGCAGAACGAAAAGGTCAAATTTTTGCGACATTACTGGTACAACTTTGAGACTTCGTACCTCCTCTAGTTTTGATCTTACTCGCTAATTTATCAGAGTTGAAAACTTTAGATGAGCTATCCTTAATCCCGATTACTTAATCACAGTATCCAATGGACACACTTTTGATTTTCTTCTTAAACCGTTCTTTTTTGGAAATAGAAGAGAAAAATCAAAAACCGTTTTTTTCAATTTAGAGGCTCCCTCCCGTTTCTGTGTATAATCGTAAATGATGCCCAAAATTTCAAATTTATCGGCTTCTTATATGCGACTATGATTGGTTGAATTTTATACACTTTTCAGGATACAAGTACAAGATTAGGTTAGTCTCGATATTAAGAAAAAGAGAGGATCAAGCATTAATCTCAATATCCACCATTCTAAAGTTTTCAGCTCAGGTTATCTATTAGAAATTCAATACCTCTACATTAAAAGAAGTTATGATCAAAAACATACAAGTTTCAATTTTACGTGGAATTCACTTTAAAACGTGATTTAGTTTTTCATCTGAAAGGAAAAGCTTGTATTTTTTTCATTGTTTTATCTCACGGCTTTGTTGCAAACTTCTAACGAAGAAGAAATGCAACGTTTTCATGCACAAATGACATTTAGAAATGTTTAATAAAGTAGAAGAGACTGTTGCCGGGATTTTAAGTGACCCCCTTGATCAGATCAATAATGTGGAAGATATTCTGTCTTGAAAAGTTTTTAATACTGAACATTTTTCCATTGTGTCTAACCAAGTCACTGCTTGAAGAGAAACCACAAATGAAAACATGGATAGCGGCATTATACGCTACCCGGGAAGTTTAAACAAGGGTGACAGTGTAACATTTGACCTGCGTACCTGGGGACCGATTATTCCTCTCTTCTTGAATATCGAAGAAACCCCGGTCTTGACAACTAGAGTCTAGCTTGACATCCCTCCCCTGGGTCTCCAGCTTGATCTCCTGGTCTCCGCTGTACAGCCTAATGTCTTGGTCCCCGCTGTACACGCTACTGTACCTGCTGCTGTACACACTACCGTCAGATCTAGTATCCTCAGCTGTACTCTCTCCTGTACACTGCAGTACGGTTTGCGGCATCTTCAAAAAACATGAATTTTTTTCAGATAAAAATAAGAAATAGCGCAATCAAAACATACAGTTAAAACGCACAGCACAGTTAAAACGTACAGTTAAAAACTTTTGACATCTATTTATAAAGCAGTTATCTCTGTATCATTGTATGTTCGATCATAACTCAGGAACCCCTTGACCGATTTCCGTTAAACTTTTTTTAGGACAATCGTTAGACTCACAGTAATTATTTAAGTCTTTAAAAATACTTAGTTTAATAAAGTTATTTATACTTCCAGGCAAAGCTGGGTTCCCGAACTAGTTTTTAACAAATAATGAAAGTTTTTTTTTTGTCATTTTAAAAACCATTTTCAGTTAAATAACAAAGTATAAGAAGAATTGTTAAAAAACAGCTTTACGTAACCGGATTTATTATTTTCTAATCCTATATCTTTCCAATCTATATATAAATCTATGAAGTATTTTTGATCAAACTGTCTGAGTTTGAAATACCTAACACCATCAAGTTGGAAAGATATAAAGATGAGAAAATTTGAGTTTGTGGCAAAAGCAAAAAACTCAATTCCTTTCTTCGATTTCTCTCTGAAACTTGAACAAAACAATTTGCAAAAAGTTAAATAATAAGAATAAAAGTATAGTTTTTTTAGTTCATTAAGTTTAAAAGGTGGAGGTTCTAAATTAATGACGGTATTGATTGTTGACAATTAAATCTCGAATTTCAATTTCAAAAGAAAATTTGAAATATTTTTAGCCATTCACAAATATTTCGTATTTGAATTTTTAATTCTGATATTTCAAAGAAAATATTTAAAATATTTGAATCTTTAAAATAAATCCATTTTAATACAAACAATAAATTTTAAGGAATTTTTTTTACTGAAAATATTTGTTAAAAAGAAAAAATTCTAGTTCCAAATAAAAAAAAAATAGTTTCAAATGCAGTTGTGGAAAAAAAGTTAGACCACGACGCTATTTAACAAGCACCATGTTTAAAAATAAAATATCGCTTGAATTTTTAACCGTTTTCATAGATCTCGTTATTTTCTAAAGAGTATTTTGATTTTATAATATTTTGTCACTTAAAGTTACTATGGGAGAATTCACAGTAATACAAAGGTTGCAAGCCCCGCACGCAAACAAACGATGAGCATTTTGCCAATTACTTCTTAGAACTTAAATCAATTTCTTTAAAGTTCTCAAATGTGAGTAAGTGCACTGTAGTTTCAGTAGAAGTAAATATTTCCGTTTACAGTTTAGTCCCAATATAAGGAATTATCTCTAATTGGATAATAAGCTAAATAGAAAGATAGATCATACTTCTATGACATTTCTATTGGTTCAGAATAGACACCAGTAACACATGGCTGTACGCTGATTATATCAGGTGCTAATGGAAACCAAAGACCAAGGCCACTCCCATGTATGCCGAGTCCATTAACGCCTGATCCAATCAGGGTTCAGTCATGTGTTTGTTGTCAATTCTGAACCAATAGAAATTGTATGGCGGTAACATCTATCTTTCTATCTATCTCATTATCCAATTAGAGTTATGAATCCTTCAATCGGCGCTATCAGTAAATGGAAATATTTCCTTCTACTAAAACTATAGTGAGGCGCGTTGAGATCAATTAAAGTTGGCTTTAATTTCAGACTAAAAATTTTAACATGCAAGTTTTACAAAAATTACATTTTATAGCGTTTACTGACAAAAAAAAATATGTTTTTTTAATATTAAAACAAAACATAATTTTTTTTAATTTCTGCAATTACCCTAACGGAGAAAAATATGAAAATTAAATTTTTATGAACTGTTTAAAATTTCCAAATACAAATTTACGAAAATTTTATGGATATTCATTAATGAAAAGAACTAATTAATCAGGGTCAGAGATTTAAAGGTTGGTCATAAACATATTTTCAACACTTTTCTATTTTTAGGAAAGTATTCTTTATATATTTATTAACTATATAAATGTTATGTCAAGCTTCAAAAAGAACAAATAACTAAATAAAATCTAAAAATGGTATATGGAGAAAAAATAATGATAATTGTTAGGTTAGAAAATATATGAAAATAACTATTTATTAAAATAGGAAATCTAAAGATTTTTAAAAAATGTTTACAAAGTTAATGTCAAACTAAAAATTTTCAAAGAAGAAGTTAAAAAATTGGCCGGAAATAAAAAATATTCAATGGGTTTGAAAATACCTGCAATATTATGAGAATGTTTTCTTGTAATGGTTCTGTTTCAACTACAGAATACCGGAATCCAACCAAAGAATCCGCGAAACAACTTTTACAAAATATCCTCGGAAACCAACCAATCAAAGACGAGATACCTCTCCTCTTGCGGAATACTTGGACTGTGATTGGTCGGTCTGGCGTCCGGAGTAAGTACAACGGATGCTGGTAGTTTTCTTTCGTAATTTCTTCTCCCTATTGGGCGTCTTTAAAGCAATCTGGAACTGCTCCCCCCCTCTTCCCATACCCAATCCATAACTTGGATACCCCTGAGGTCCCTCCCTCCCATTTCTGTGTATATGTGTAATGTTTCTATCCATCTTTTATTCATCTTCTATCCATATTCTATCCATCTTCTATCAATCTTCTATCAATCTTCTATCCATCTTCTATCCATCTTCTTTCCACCTTCTATCCATCTTCTATCCATCTTCTATCCATCTTCTATCCAATATTCTATCCATCTTCTATCCATCTTCTATCCATCTTCTATCCATCTTCTATCCATCTTCTATCCATCTTTCTTGAGAGTTAGAGTAAAAACATGTTAGCAGCTTTTCAAAACCTAATCATTATACAAATTTGACCTGGGAATGAAAAGTGAGACACGGTTGAACCGCTCAGATATGATTCAGTCACTTCTTCTCTGCTTAAACTGGCGCACAAGATAAGTGGTTAAACTACGTACATAGTGCATAGTGCAACTTTACTTTTTACTATTTATTAAATCTAGTAGTTTTGAGAAAAATAAAGCAAAAATAGTGCTTTTTAAAAATGGTAATCTTATTAAATAATTTCTAAGAAAGGGTTTGATTCTCCTAAAAGAACCAGGTTCAAGGTTTGTTAAGGGAGTGACCGTCAATGTAAGGAGGTTGAACTAAATATGCAGTATTGTGAACAAATTTTTTAGGATTTATTTAAGACATATAAAACGTTTCCACGATGTATGCTGAGTTTGAGCGCAAAGTCGACGTTCAAGATCATGAATTGTGGTGGGCACATTTTTAGAAACAGTTTTTTAAAATTATTTAATGACGACGACGAAAAATAAAGTAAAAATTATACAGAAAACTAATTATGTTTAGGAACATATTTCTCAAAAGATATTTGTCAATAAATCTAGGTTAAAATCAAATATTTCGTATTCATCTTTTTATTGATTGTCTTATTCTCAATAAATTTGTTCGCAGATTTCTACAAATTCTTCAAATATCGTTTTACAATAAAAAATCCAGAAAATCTTCAGAAAATCTTTGTGAATAATCATAGATTAAAGAAACTAATAATTGAATAAGATTACTTATTTTCAATGATAAGAGTCAATTTTTATTTTCTCGACCTGTTACTAAACAAATAATTAGTTTAAAGAAATTTTGTTTCTTACATTTTTTGTCGTCGTTATTTAATAAATAAAAAACGATTTCCACCGAAATTCATAAGTTTGAACGTCGACTTTGCGGCTTGTAAATATATGTCGTAGAAACGTTTTATATGTCTCAAATGAATCATAAAAAATTTGTCCAACAAAACTACATATCTAATTCAAACACCATACATTGCCGGTCACTCCCTTTAAGAAAAAAGTTCTTTTGACGATCTAACAGTTTTGGTTGAATTAAAATGTTAGTGCAAATTTTGTAATTTTAATGTCAAATTCTTTATTTAGTGATCTCTTAAGGAGCGCTGGTTATCATTCATTGATTATCATCTATCCTTCCTTTATCATCTTCTATCCTACCTTTATCATCTTCTATCCTTCCTTTATCATCTTCTATCCTTCCTGTATCATCTTCTATCCTTCCTTTATCATCTTCTCTTCTTCCTTTATCATCTTCTATCATACCTTTATCATCTTCTATCCTTCCTTTATCATCTTCTATCATTTCTTTTCATCTTCTATCCTACCTTTATCATCTTCTATCCTTCCTTTATCATCTATCCTACCTTTATCATCTTCTATCCTTCCTTTATCATCTTCTATCCTTCCTTTATCATCTTCTATCCTTCCTTTATCATCTTCTATCCTTCCTTAATCATCTTCTATAGCTTCCTTTATCATCTTCTATAGCTTCCTTTAATATCTTCTATCCTTCCTTTCTCATCTTCTATTCTTCCTTTATCATCTTCTATAGTTTCCTTTATCATCTTCTATTGCTTCCTTTAATGTCTTCTATCCTTCCTTTATCATCTTCTATCCTTCCTTTATCATCTTCTATCATTTCTTTATCATCTTCCATAGCTTCCTTCATTATCTTCTATCCTTCCTTTATCCAATTATATCCTTTCTCTATCATCTAATAAAAGATATATAAATATAATGTTAATAGATTATATTGTTTTTTAAATTCCGAATTATTTACGCTTATTGAATATTTGATTTTACCGTTGTATAAACTCTTTTTTTGAGTGGAGGTTTATAAAGTCTTAATGGAATGGAATGGGAGGGGGGGGGGAGGTAAATATCCTTATTCCTTAGTTGACATGTTGTGTGCTATGTAACAAAATATCTTAATAAAACAATACCCCGGTACAGGGCACCTGCACTATACTCATTGTTTTTATATCAGAAATTAAAACAAATAATCAGGTTTGATGCTTCTTACCCCCACCCCCCCCCCCCCTCACTCTTAGACTACCTCATCCCCTTCCCTTCCAGCACACCTCCCCCCCCATTCACAGTCTCTCCTTCGCCCTTTTTCCGTTTCATTTCCTTTCCTGATCCTGCCAGCAAAGAAATAAGAAAGACGACTGTGGCGCAGCATGAAAATGTGCTGTACTACTGTACGTGTACTAACTGCTAACTGTCATATAATCTTCATTTTTTCCATGAAATTCTGTAAATGTTGATAGGAAATGTGGAAATTCTGTAAATGTTGATAGGAAATGTGTAAATTCTGTAAATGTTGATAGGAAATGTGTAAATCTGTAAATGTCGATAGGAAATGTGGAAATTCTGTAAATGTTGATAGGAAATGTGTAAATTCTGTAAATGTTGATAGGAAATGTGGAAATTCTGTAGATGTTGATAGGAAATGTGGAAATTCTGTAAATGTTGATAGGAAATGTGGAAATTCTGTAAATGTTGATAGGAAATGTGGAAATTCTGTTAATGTTGATAAGAAATGTGTAAATTCTGTAAATGTTGATAGGAAATGTGGAAATTCTGTAAATGTTGATAGGAAATGTGGAAATTCTGTAAATGTTGATAGGAACTGTGGAAATTCTGTAAACCTTGATAGGAAATGAGGAAATTCTGTAAATGTTGATAGGGAATGGGGAAATTCTGTTCATGTTGATAAGAAATGTGTAAATTCTGTAAATATTGATAGGAAATGTGGAAATTCTGTAAATGTTGATAGAAAATGTGGAAATTCTGTAATTGTTGATAGGAAATGTGGAAATTCTGTAAATGTTGATTGGAAATGTGTAAATTCTGTAAACCTTGATAGGAAATGTGGAAATTCTGTAAATGTTGATAGGAACTGTGGAAATTCTGTAAACCTTGATAGGAAATGTGGAAATTATGTAAATGTTGATAGGGAATGTGGAAATTCTGTTAATGTTGATAGGAAATGTGTAAATTCTGTTAATGTTGATAGGAAATGTGTAAATTCTGTAAATATTGATAGGAAATGTGTAAATTCTGTTAATGTTGATAAGAAATGTGAATATTCTGTAAATATTGATAGGAAATGTGTAAATTCTGTTAATGTTGATAGGAAATGTGTAAATTCTTTAAATATTGATAGGAAATGTGGAAATTCTGTAAATGTTGATAGGAAATGTGTAAATTCTGTAAATGTTGATAGGAAATGTGGAAATTCTGTTAATGTTAATGTCAATTATTTTCATTGTTTCTAAAGAAAAAAAATAAAATTAATAATTAACTTAAATATGTCCGTTGTGTTTGTATCCATACTATTATTTTAGTATAAAGAATACGGATTAAAAATGCAAACTGCAAAACTGCAAAACTGCAAACGGAGAGAATGACAGAAAAACATGTTATATTTCTTATCAAGATAGACATTAATATTTCTGTGGGCTCTAACTATTTTTTGTAATTTAATACAGTGGTACCCATAAAACGAAAAATAGAAAAACGAAATTTTCAGTAATCTGATTTTTCAATAATAAATTGTTTTTTTTTCATGTTCATAGAATTATTCAAAATCAAAACTTGAAAAACTAAAAGTGCTAGAAAACCGGAAGTTTGTCTCTTCAAAAATATCTTTTAGACATTTAGGAATTGTTTTACCAAAAAGCTGGTAAACATGATATTCTGTAAGCTTGCAGTGCGCTGTACATACGTCATAACGTCATAGCGTTTCAAAACTGTTATGGAGTAGGTATTTGCTACATTGTTACTTTGACAGAAGTGTAGAAAAACCTACTCATAATGCCACTACCACTGGGCGCAATATCGTATGCTATGTCAACCAGACAATAGTGATATATTGATCAATGTCTCAAACAGGACACAATCCACATAGCTACAATACCGTGAACTATCAACGCCACTAAAACTGGGCGCGATCTCCTTTGCTATGTCAACCAGACAATAGCGATCTATTGATTAATGTCTCAAACAGGACACAATCCACACGGCTACAATCCTGTGAACTATCAACGCCACTAAAACTGGGCGTGATCTCATTTGTTTTGTCAACGGGACAATAGTGATCTATTGAGCAATGTCTCAAACAGGACACAATCCACATAACTACAATCCCGTGAACTATCAACTCCAATAAAACTGGGTGCGATCTCATTTGCTTTGTCAACCAGGCAATAGTGATTTATTTACCAATGTCTCAAACAGGACACGACCCACATGGCTACAATCCCGTGAACTATCAACGCCACTAAAACTGGGCGTGATCTCATTTGCTATGTCAACCGAACATTAGCGATCCATTGATCAATGTCTCAAACAGGACACAATTCACACGGCTACAAATCCGTGAACTATTAACGCCACTAAAACTGGGCGTGATCTCATTTGCTATGTAAACCAGGCAATAGAGCTCTATTGATCAAAGTTTCAAACAGGACACAATCCACACGACTACAATCCTGTGAAGTATTAACGCCACTACCACTTTTTTGCGATTTCCTTTGCTATGTCAACCAGACAAAAGTGATCTATTGATTAATTTCTTATTTAAGACACGATCTCAATT